GTGGAATTTGCATGGGAGTAGATTTATTGGGTGAGATGGTGTTGATGAAGGTGGTAGTGAATTGGTGGTGGCGGTAAGATGGTGTTGGTGGGGGTGGCAGTGAAGTGGTGTAGGTGAGGGAAAGAGGAAAAAAATATAAAGGAAGGTGGTTTTATGAGATCACGTGACCCACACGTGCAAAGTCAACGCCAGAAAATCAAGTCAAACACCGGAAACTGGGTTAAGGTGTTGCTTCGCAAAAAAAGTGGTTTAAGGTGCTTTCACAAGAAAATTTTTATAAAGTGTTTTTTCACAAAAAAAAAAAAAAAAGGTTTTATAAAAGGTGGTTTTTGACAATTTTTCTTAATACAATAATACTACTCATATAATAAGTGTGACTACATTTTTAATAGTAATTAAATATTACAGAGTATTGTGTAATATGTTATTGGATTAATCTCAATATATGTTTAGATAGTATGCTTTTTATATGTGTGGTTAATACATAATACTCATAGTATATATATACTTCGTATAAAATATCAGACTTGTATATTGACAAGTATGTCAATCGATCAAACTGTTATGATTATTTAGAAACGAAGGGACCTCATGATTATATGCATTGAACAATATATATTACTAAGGTTAATATATATATATATATATTTTCGCCAAGTGTCGATAGGTTTTATTGTGACACATATGATGCTAAGTAAGCGAATTTTGGATAGAATTGCTAAGATAAAAATGTTGTATAAAGTTTTATTATCGATATACTTCTAATGTTTCATATACACAAAATTAATCATAACTTTTAATAAATATCCTATAACTCGGTTCTATTTCCATCATAAATTTCGTTTTAAAAAGTTTTTTGAAATAAGATCAATTTATAATATATTTAATTTATTTAAAAAATTAATAGAGAATTAGTAAAAAATAATTAAGTTTTAATCCGTAAAAATAATTTTAGTTTGGTAAAATAATTTTAGTTCGATAAAATGATTTAAGTTTAATAAAAATTCAATAATAACATAGATATCTATCTACAAACAAAGCTACAAAAATTACACACCGGTTAGTCATTTGTGGTTCAGAGAAGTGTAGAGGACCTTTCCATCTACATAAGCGCAATATGCATCACAGCTCAATAACAAGGAAGTGTACTGTTGAATATAAACATGTTTTTGTTAGTGATAAAACGTGAATGTGGGACATTGAATGTATGCTACTTAAGAGTCTTAGAAGCATCAAAAACTGATCTGACCAACCCGATTCAATTTGATCCGAAAAAAATTTATTACATATTTCAACTCCTATGGGCACAATAATTTAGCATAACTCAACTTTGAAATAACCCGACATCACCGAACCTGACCCAAGTACCCAAATTGACACCTCTTTTAAAAAAAACACCCATACAAAACTAATATATCAAGAAATCATTCCACAAAGCTTGGAACCAAGTTAAGTCATTTTAATTCTTCAACAAAATGGGTCGAATATATGAATAGTTTCTCTGTTCTTTCTTAATTGCAACATTAAGAGTTTAAACAGCTTGCTAATGCATATTTAAAATTATTAATATCAAATTATGTTTAGTGTATATTATAATAGCCTGGGTTTATATTTGTAAAGTATATACCAACCACCATTGTTGAACACGTCCATCTTCTTCTCTTTTATATTCTTCCTTTCCCAGAAATAAATTAAATATGCTATCGAGAGAAAAAGAGAGTGATAGAGAGAAAAGCCTCTCGAGCGAGGAAAATGATCTCCTCCAGAGATCGAATAAAAAATTTAAACGGACTCAATCTACACAAGAACAAATTGGCAATGGAAATGGAATCCAATATGAGGAAGATGCCACAATGGAAGAAGTATCCTTTGTTGCTGAGATAGTGGGATGTCAATTTAGAGAGAATAGAGAGAATAGAGTTGTTGCCTTATATTAGAGTATGCACAAGTGTATATATACAACCTAAGAGATTAGGATTAGGGCTTTACATATTAGCCCGTAAACTATACATGACATACGGGCTCAACATGGGAGCTGGAGATCGAAGCCAAAAATCAATTTCCTACAGTCAAATGGCAAGAGGCTTCGATAGAATTGTGAATCCTTTGTATGAAGGAATCATTCATGAGGAAGATCCGGCCTCGAATGATGATGTGTCTTTAGATTGCGATTCAGATGATGAAAGTTGTCAATTATCTATTTGACAAAAGAGGAGAAGATGAGGCTGCGACGCCCATGGAAAAATGCAATCATAATCAAACTCTTTGATAGGATATTGAGTTATGAAGTTTTAATCAAGAGACTGAAATTGAAATGGTGTTTGAAGGGTGAAATTGCACTGACTGATGTCGGACATGCTTATCATGTAGTCAGGTTTAATAATTTGGAAGATTATGAGTATGTGATGACAGAGGGACCATGGATGATTGGAGATAGTTATCTAACTATTCGAAAATGGGTGCCAAATTTTGTCTCAGATGAGGAACCCATTAAGAAGCTTACGACATGGGTGCGTATTCCCCAGCTCTCGGTGGAGTACTTTGACAGAGAGTTTTTGTTCAAAATAGGCTCGAAAATTGGTAAAGTTATCAAAATTAATAAAAACACTGAATCTAAGGATAGAGGACAATATGTTCGATTCTGTATTAAGGTCGACCTTACCAAACCTCTTTTGTGAAAATTTAGATTGAATGGCAGAGTTTGGCGAATCCAATATGAAGGTTTAAGGATGATTTGCTTTAAGTGTGGCTGCCTAGGGCATAAGGAAGATGAGTGTCAAAAGTTTGATTCTAATAAGGAACAGGAGACTAATGGTGGTACTTTGAACAAGGTTGACAAAGGCATCTTCGATAAGAGTCAAGTTCAGGGGAATAGAACAGAGGTCAAAGACAAGTATGGTGCGTGGATGTTAGTTCAGAAACCTGCTAGGATGTACACTCCTAAGAACAAAGGAGAAGGCAATAAGAAAGTCCATGAACCTAACAAGGTCAAACAAGGTGACCAAGGTCAACTGATCAAAGGTAGAAATACACCAAAACAGAACTTGAATCAAAGTTTGAGTGGTAAAAATGGAGGTTCAAGGTTTAATGTCTTGGACACTGAAGAAGACATGGTGGCGAAGGAAATAGGGAATAACCAAGAGGCGGTGGTCAACGTTGGGAATAAGTCTTACTTAAGGAAGATGCCAACTGGCAAGGGAAACAGTTCGATTGACAAGGAGGAAATTACCACTAGTAGAAAAAATCAAATAGGCACCCCCCCTTTAGCACCGGTTCTTGAAAACCGGTGCCAAAAGAAATGGGCAGGAGGAGTTGGCACCGGTTCCAACCAAAACCGGTGCCAACCTTTAAAAAAAAAAAAACAAAGAAAGCAATAGAGTTGGCACCGGTTCGCCTTAAACCGGTGCCATTTAAAAAAAAAATCCTGGTTTAAGGCGCGTCTTCTTCTTCATTTTCTTGCTCTTTCCTCTTCGTTCTCATCTGATCTGCCTCTCTCTCTCCTCCATTGTAGCGTACTCGAATTTCTCCATTGAAGGGGCTTCTGAGCTTTCCTAGCACTCCGTCTCTCTCCTTCGATCTCCTTCTCCATAACCGTCACTTTCCCTTTCCTTTCTTCTCTCTTTCGATCTCCTTCTCCTTCTCTCTTTCTACAATATTGGAGGTTAGGGTTTCTAGGTGCGTCTATTTGAATCAATTCTATGTGCGTGCGTCTTCAACAACAACAAATTCGATCAAATTCGAACCAAAAATCAGAAATTCGAGGTTAGGGTTTCTGGGTTATTTAGCTTTGCGTTATATTGTAGCAGTTCTGAGCTTTCTCCTCCATTGAAACAACTGCCTTACTTGGCACTCAACCTAATTCCGTCAATTTCTTCCCAGAAAAGTGGCGTAAAATTGCAACCAGTTAAAAGTTTGTGTGTTGCTTTGCTTGCTGCAATGTTGGTATCTTTATTTCGTTATCCTTTGCTCAAGTTTTTAGATTTTGATGAATGTGGGATTTCTGATTTTGTTGATAATTTTTGGAATTTAGTTGATAATTTTTTAATCTGAAATGTATGCTATACTTGATTTTTAAACTATGGTTTTTGCATTGATTGTATGATTTGTATCCTTTGATAATCGTTGTTGCTAATTAATTGGAAACATGAACTTAAAGTGAGGATTTTAATGGAAGATTGAGGCAGGTTTTCTGGAAAAGATTGACATTGCATTTGACTTCTGAGGTTGATGAATATTGCAAAATTACTGAATGGAGTATTGCTTTGCATCACCTTTGGGTAGGGTTAGTGTTTGATGGTTAAACTCCTGAGTATCCGAGAACGGGTTTTGGTACAAGTGTGCCACATTTGATACTGACCTACTATAGAAATTGGCCACTGCCCAGTTAGTTAAGCATTGGGTATTTGGGTCAGACACTGCTTTCTTTAGACTAGGACTTAGTCGAGAATACATTAAGATATATGACACAATATCGATATGAACCTGCCTGCATTGCTGAGTACAACATGGAAAATATTGCGTTTTACTTGGCACTCTTAAGATTTACTAGTCTAGCACTAATAAGGATAACTGTGATAATAATGTTTGTTGGCTATTCACTATTTGTATGGAGCTGATTTACACCTATTGCTTCGTGGTTGTCTGTTGATGACGGCTGTTCCCGAGCTTTTCTGTTGCTGATTTACCTTAGTAGTAGATATCTTGTGTACGGAGTTTTCCTCCTAAATCACTATGCCCGCCTAGTACATCTTTTTATGGTAATATATAGTCAATATTTTCATCAACAATTATAATTAGGTTAATTTTATGATTTTGTTTTTAAAATTTTGAAGTAATGCAATTTTTTAAAAACAATTTTTTTTATCCCACCTGTCAGTTGATCATCTCAAATATATTGATGGCAGAAATATTAAAGATCTGATATGCTTGGTGGTTTTGGGCAATTCTAGAACTGCACAGCATACGGATTTTTCCGGCTGCAGAATTTCTATATTTATCATATGGTAAAGGATACTGGTGAAGGTATGGTAACTGTTCTTTCTAGTTACTTCGTATATGATTTTTGTTTTTTTTTTCTTTCAATTTGTTGTTTTGGTTTTTGAAAAGTGAGATATATCCAGGATACTAGTAGGAATTCAAAGTGAAATTAGTGAAATACAGGTTTTGCTTCATTAGGAGTCCAATGACTTTTTGGTACTGCCTACTCAACAAATTGTCTTTGTCATTCATGTCCTTACTTCACCTTGCACTGCTATCTAAAGTTGAGTTGCAAATGATGAAAGCTGGCTAAATAAAAGTCTACATGCCTAAAACATGCCCTTATTTATACAAATTAGAGTTATATGTTGGTCACCGCAACCAATAAAGAAAATCAAAGTAAGCTTTTCACAATAATATAAAACTGAATCCGTAAAGGGAATATAATGTTGTTAAGGCGTTAATGTATACAAGAAGTTGCTCAAATTTGTGGACATATACTTTGTATAAATTTGCTCAAATCCGTAAAGGGAATCTACACTACTTTATCTTATTTTTAATGGTGATATTACAATACTAGGTCATCTTCACAGAGCTTAGTAGGAAAGAGGCACAACAGCAGCTTGATGAGATGAAGCGTGCCCTTATATTGTCGTCTAGCATGAAGTCCAAGGGTGATCATTCATCATATTCCCATGAAAGTTTTATCCATTCAGATTCTAGGTTGTCAGCCTGTGATCCTGGACAACCCTACTCACAATATTCAAGCCCCTTGTTGGGACTTCAAACAGGTATTTTACTTCACTCGACTGTGATTTAATTGACATACCCTATACATTTTTCTTTTCCTCCATTTTCATCATAGTGACATGATTTGTTTTCATGGATTTTGCTCCATTTAAGATTTTGGGACAGGCTCTTGGATTGGTCCTCCTGGACATGCTTCGCTGCCAAACCCTGCCAACGTGAGTTCAAAGGCCTGGATCATGCTTAACAAGTCTTTACTCTGATTTTCTCTTTTATGCTCGAGTTGGAAACTAACCTAATTTTTCCTTAATACAGGCAATTAAAGGATATACAGGGGTGGAGCATTCTGTCGCATTAGCGGCAATGCAGCCTCGTCCTTACAACAATGTGAGTAGAGAGGTTCATGCATCTGTGGGTCTTCTTTTCTTTTATATTTTTCAATACATGGTTTGGCTTTATTTGAGGTGGTTGGGGGTTCCTTTAGTGTTTGGGATAGCGTTTAATATGAGCTCCGTTCTAACTATACATACATCTTTTTAGCTTCCTATCATTGATTTTGTGTTCTGCCTTACCAGTCCATGTTACTGGAAGATCACTTTTATGAAGGATAGGCTTTTCATTGTGGAAACCAACTTTGAAACTTTGGAAACCACTTGCTGGAATATGACCCTCTAACTTGTAAAATATTCTCTCTTGAATTTTTATACTTGTTATCACCTTTTTTCCCCTAAGTAACCAAACGTGCCCAAAATTCATTACATGTTTTATTGACTAAATGCATAATTACTTGTGTGCATTTATGATTATTTCTGTGAATTTTCCACGTTTCTTACCCACCCAAAAAATATACTAGTATGTATTTTTGTTACCTGTATGTATTCCAATTTCGACTCTGCAACAATATATAAAAATGATATTCACTGTTGATGCAGGTAGATACCAGATATGAAAGCGCTGGATTTTCTGGCAGAATAGAAGCACCAGCAGGGTCCTACTCCTTTCCTGGAAGTTTGAATCCAATGCCTCCCAGGGATTGTTATCCTGGGACACATTCAAGTTACAGCAATCCTAGTCTCGAGGATGGAGGTCCCAGAACATACTCAAGTTATGGAAATCCTATTCCTGGGAATAATTACACTCAGCGTGACAGTGAAAACTATTTACATCACTGTTATACTCATTTAAACCTGTAAACTACCGTAGTTGGCCGCAGCCTGTTATTTAGCAAAGCGTAGATTATCATGCAACCAAATCTGGGAGGTGAAAACACCTAGAAATTAAAAAGATCAAATTATTTGGGAAAGTCAGGGATTCCTGAATTCTTGCATGTAATTATCATTGTGGACCTATGTGATTATGTCAGCCTTTAGGCAACTCAGGCCCTTAGCAGTGAAAAAGGTAGACATGTTATTTTCAGCATTGAACTTGAATTGACTATGTTTCTTATGTATATCTATATTTGCAGTTTCGCGAACCCCATATTCAAGGCCTCAGGGAAGTTACCCTGCTGATGTGCGGCATCCTGGATATGCACTATACCATCTTCCTAATTCTTGGGAATCGAGGTAATACTTAATTTTGCAGATCATGGAGACTGATGTGTAAATGTTGTGTGGACAAGTCTTTTTAACTCTTTACTTATGCGCCATTTGATCCTTTTTGTTCTTCCTATTTTGACCTTTTTTGTCTCGCAAAAAGATTTCAAATGGAAAGAACGAAAAGGATCCGTTGTAGTATTGTAAATTGTTAGTGACATATCTTGCCTAGTATTAATTGTATAGTCTGAATGTTTGTTACACATTTTGATGTACACATTGTGAACATATACTCATCAACCTAATTTAAATTTGTGGTAAACTTGCCTAATTATCCCAAATCATAGCCTCTTTCAGCAATCTCAGCTCACAATGTAAATCAGCTCATACCCAAAATAACTATGTTTCATAACAATCGTCCTAGTTGTTTAGTTGTCTTTTAATAAGAAACAACTAATAGTAACAGAAACTTGCAGAGACATGAGCAAAATTACATAAAGCAATAGTGAAAACCCTAGAAAGCTCATTATAGACAAACCAAGTACTTCTAGAAACTTAAAGGATCACTAGGGAAGAAAAGAGTATAATTGTTACTTCATCAAACCAACATTGCTAATTTGTTGTATAATCTAAACATTTTCTATGCTTCCCTTCCATTTCTCATTAATTTTTGCTACATACGGAAAGCGCTTCTAGAATGTTGGCAGGTAAATATGATATTTGTTTATTTTGACCCCCCTAATTTATCTTTTTTTTTTTTCGTGAATCCTTGGTTGATGAGGCTTGCTTTTATTTATTTTTTATCTTTCTTGGATGTATCTTCATTTGTTTGGAAATGGTTTTGTTTCAATGTTTCATATATAGGTTTAGCCTTGTATTTGATTGCTGGCTGGTTCTTCTAGTTCAGGCTGCTGTTTTGGGCTGGATTAGGTTTGTGTTGCTGGCTGGTGCCTGGTCTTGATGGTGCTGGCCTGGTCTGTTATTGCTGGCCAAGTTTCTGTCTCGTGGTGTAGTGCTGTTTTATTTTCTGGCTGTTGGTGCTATTTCTTTTGCTTGCTGCTGGTTCTGCTTGCCTTTGTGTTATTTGCTTGCTGTTGCTGTTGTTATTGGCAACTTGTGTTCCTGTGTGTTGTTGCAGTCCTGCTAGTTGCTTGTTGGTCTCTGGTTTGCTGCATGTGAGGCTGCTGGGTGCATGCTGCTGTTTTTGCTGCTTTTCCTTGCCAGTTGGTGCTGTAATGCTCTGGCAGCTGCTGCGTTGATTTCTGCCTATGCAGTCAAGTCTTATTTTGTTTATATTGGTGTTTGGCTGTTTACCTATTTTGCCGGCATACAGTTTTAATATTCTTGCATATTGATGCGACAGAGCTGCTGTTTTCCTATTTTGTTTTGAAAGTTAACAGAAAAAATGAAAATATGTAACTTTATATATATGTTAATGTTTATATATCAATTTAAGTGAAAAAAATGCAAAAAAAAATAAAAATTTATTTTTTTATTTTTTTGGGGTATTTTTGGCACCGGTTTTGATCAGAACCGGTGCCAAAAGGTTTTTAAAAATTTTTTTTACACTTTTTGCACCGGTTCTTGCTGCCTTAAGTGGGGTTTTTTGCACCGGTTCTTTCTTTGAACCGGTGCCAATGGTATTGAAAATAAAAAAAAAACGCGCCATAGTAGTTGGCACCGGTTTTGAACCGGTGCCAAATTTTCATGGATTTGGCATCCCTCAAATACCCAACGGTTCAAAACCGGTGCCATAGGGGGGGTTTGAACCGGTGCCTTTTTATCTCTTTCGTCTAGTGTACAGACGATGTTGAGAAATATATGGAAAAAAAATCAAATGGAAGAAGATTTTGTGGAAGGTGATAATTCTGAAATGAATTTGGAAATAAATGATAACGAAGATGCTATGATTGAGGACGGAAATCTTGAAGATTTGGAAGAGAATATTTTGAATAAGGATACTCATGTAGATATGGTAAATGATAAGCTATTGAACAATAACAATATCTTAGGAGATATTGCCAAGGACGAGAGTCGGGGAAATATTATCTTACCAAATTTGAATAATAAAAAATTAGGAAAAGATAATAGAATCCCTTTGACCAATAGGAATAGATTTTTTAATACTTCCAAGCCTAATTTCAAAAAATCAGAGTTGGCTTCCCCATATTCTAAGCTAATTGGAAGTAGGAGAAAGGAAAATCGAAATAGTGCAATTCCAGTAAGCCCTCATCATGAATCCAAATCAAGTGCCAGTGATAATGGAGTTGCGGATTCCTCGAGCTTCGAGATGTTTGTGGATTACCTGACAGAAGGGCCGTACTTGATAGTGGTACATCCATTGGCAAACAAGGCATCGATTCAGTTGGACACCTACATTCAACCGGAACACGATCCTCCGAGCATGATGGCGAATTTTACTCTGCCAATAGAGATCGAGGGGGCAATAAAATCCCTTCGACAAGCATTCCTAAGCTTGATGTCTGACGTTCCATTTAACGTATGTGATAAGTACCCAAACTTTCCAAGTTTTAGTATGTCCATAAAAAGTTTAAGTATGAATGTTCAAGGAGTTGGTAATAAGTTGTATATCATTAAGGAACTTGTGCAAATTAATGATTCGACAATTTTAGTGTTGTTTGAAACTCATATGAGTGGTGCGAATGCACTGCAAATTTGCAATAAAATTGGCTTCTCAGGCCAACGTCGCGTGGAGGCTCAAGGATTTAGTGGTGGAATTTGGCTATTTTGGAGGATAGAAAAAATCTCTGATTTTGTGTATGGAGAACACGCCCAACATTTGACTGTAGAACTCAAGAAAGCGGGTGAAGATCCTTGACTATTCTCGACTATTTATGCTAGCTCGGAAAGTAGTTTGAGAAGTGAATTGTAGAGTGAGTTAGAGAGAATTCAAGATGCTTACACTGGCCCGTGGCTCTTAGCGGGTGACTAATAAAACAATGAATATGGGTGATAGGAATGGCAATGGAGGTTCGGAAATGCAACAAAGGTGCAAAGAGTTTGCTAACTGGGTGGAGAATAACGAGCTAATTGATCTTGGCTGTTCCGGCCCAGCTCATACATGGTTTCGAGGCTTGACCCCTGCTACTTTCACGAGTGCAAGACTTGATAAGGGCCTTGCAAATGAAGCGTGGAGATTGAGGTTTGATGAGGGTGCGGTTCGAAATTTGCCAAAGCTAACTTCAGACCACTGCCCAATATTGATTAGTACTTTGGGTTTTGCTCCAATCCCGAAGATTTTGAAGCCCTTCCGTTTCCAAGCTGCGTGGCTTACGCAGCAAAAATTCAGTGACTTTGTCTACTCGAACTAGCGGAGTGATGTCCCAATTGTTCCTTTTTTGAGCGAGTTTGCGGAGAAATTAGAGAGGTGGAATAAGGAAGAATTTTACAAAATTTTCCGCAAAAAATAAGAATTATGGGCGAGGCTTGAGGGTAGTCAAGTCGAATTATCGAAAGGCAGACAAAATTCACCTTGTTACCCTCGAAGCTGAATTAAAGAAGCAGATGAGGGATGTGCTCAATGCCGAGGAACTTTTATGGTTCCAAAAATTGAGAGTCGATGCCATTTGTGATGGAGATAGGAATACAAGGTACTTTCATCTCTCGACTGTCATTCGAAGAAGAAGAAATCGTATCGAAACCCTTAAAACTGATGGAGGAGAGTGGGTGATAGATCCAAATCAAGTCCAGCAATTAGTCCTTTCATACTGGAAAAATCTTTTTCAAGAAGAGGTGCAAGGTCATGTAAGTACGCGGCTATTATATGACTATTTTCCAGAAATATCCAATTCGGATTTGGAGACTTTATCTTAACCTTTCAGTGGCAGTGAAGTGCAATTGGCTTTGAAGAGTATGAAACATTATAAAGCGCCTGGTCTGGATGGGTTTCAACCCATTTTCTATCAAAAAATTTGGGAGATTGTTAATCTGAGTCTTGTTTACATGGTGAAGGATGTGTTAGAGGGGAGAGAATTCCCTAAGGGCTTGAATGATGCTTTTTTTGTCTTAATCCCAAAAGTTGAAACTCCGGAGACAGCCAAGCAATTCCGGCCGATTGGGTTGTGTAATATAACCTAATGCATTGTGGTCGCGCATTCTAAGAGCGAAGTATTGTGATAATAGATGTGATCATGATATGTTTCGTGAGAAATCAA